TGATTAATCTTTCATCAATGAAAGAGTATGAAGAAGTTTTCAAAATAAATAATACTGTCAAACCAGTTTGGGTATTATTCACAGATGGAGGTCCAGACGAAAATCCTAGGTTTATCAACAATATCTATCAGTATTGTTGTTTGTTCAAAAAATTAGATCTTGATTATCTTACTATACGTACTAATGCACCAGGACAATCTGCGTTTAATCCTGTTGAGAGAGCCATGGCAAGCTTATCTAAAAAATTAGGTGAAATTTCTTTTAGTATTGATACATTTGGCAACCACCTTGATTCTCAAGGTAAAATAATTAACAAAGATCTTGGGCTACGAAATTTTCGGCATGCTGGTGAAGCTTTATGCAATATTTGGCAACGTGATAAAATTTTTGGTAAACCAGTCTATTGTGAATATGTTGATGAGGAGTCGATGCCTTTTTCAGATGTTGTTTTTGAAACAAATTTGGGTTGTAATAATGAAAAAGCCAATGACGAATATGAAGAACCAGAAGTTGGAAATGTTGAAGATACTGAACAAGTTCTATGGGCCTGGATTGAAAATCATGCAAAAATGTGCAAGTATTCTTTGGATATTCGAAAATGTGAAGTTCCTGAATGCTGTTCACCAAAACGAGCTCCCGAGGTTGCCACCCTTCTTGAACCTACAAATGGTTTCCTTCCACCAGTGATTAAAGGCAAAGACAATCACTTTTTGAACCCGATTCATACTGTAGAATATTTAGATTCGGCAAAATTAGCAAAGTATGATGAGCATTGTCCTTCAATTAGTGCAGAACTATATGCATGTCTTGTATGCAAAAAATGTAAAAAGTACTTTCCTACATGTGCTTTTCTTTTAAACCACAAACATCTTGCCCACCCTAAAAGTAAATAAGATCTTAAATAGATAAAACCTGTATAAAATTTAGGAATAGAAATTGAATAAATAAATCAAATTTTAAGCAAAATAAATCAAATTTTAAGCGAAATAAATCAGAAATAAAACTTATCTTTTGCGAAACGTTTATATGATCGTTCAGTTTTTATGTTATATATATAATTTTATTTTTAGAGATTTGTGTTACATAAGAGATTCATGATCCCCTCCCCACCTATATGATATTACGTAATATCTGTGAGTCCCCTTAGTAATATAATGTTTAAAAAGGTACACAATTAGTAATTTGGTCTTTTTTTTAAAAAAAAACTAAAAAAAATTCTCATAACAAACTACTTTGTTCATCAAAAAACACATTAATTTAAAATGTATTTTTGTTCTTAAGCACTATCATAAATTCTATTATAGTCATTGTATATTAGTTCACCAACTGTTGCATATCAACATTAATCATACTAGCATAATTGAAACGAATGCTCTAACGAGGTTACAAGACAAGGTTAAATAATAGGTATAATGATTTTTATCAAATGATTAAAAAAAATCAATTGTTCAAGCATGGCAAAGACTTACATTTTCAGGTTATTAGCAAAATTTTGTCCATCTATCCATCCACGGGTCGTTGGGGTATCCAATGTATTATGTAGATCAAATATATGTATAGTCTTATATAAAAATTACGTATTAAATTTTTTTTTTTTTGAAATGATCACCGATTTGATTTTTATCTGATATAATAACAATAACGATTCTTTTATTACGTATATATTTTTAAAAAGATTCACTAGCAAAGCACTCAGTTTATATACTTTATTGATTTTTTTTTTTATTACAGGTTCAATTCCTTTATATTATCATATTACTCTTCAATTTGTACACATAAGCTAAGTATTATATTATTTTCGCACATTATCATTATATTTAAATTACAGCATTACTAACTTCGCTCATTACACATCAAACCAGATGCATGGATATTGGTCAATCATGCGACAATAAGTTTAAAAGTATTTTGGTCACTTCTTCTTTCCCATGCGTTTTCGCACTGTTTTGTACAATTCCTACTGATCGTTTTTTACGGTCCATATGAACTTTCAAAAGTTCTAAAGTAATATTTTCTTTGTCAATATTACCTGATGAAAGTTGTAGCTTTGATTGCTTCAGGTCTTGCATTATATTCGGGTGAGTTTTTAAGTCTAGTTTGTTAAAAAGTCCCTCTACTTGCTGTTGGTGAACTATTATAAAATAAATTCATTCTTTAATGAATTTATATAACAATTCATAATCATAGATTTTGAAGTTTGAAGTAAGACAAAATTTTTGGAACTTGTCTCTAAATTCTAAAGAACCTAGTAAATTTTCCTGAAGGTCAAAAGTATTACTAGTTATCTCAAAATCATCGCATAATTGTTGTGCTAAGCTTATTTCATATTCTGTTGGTTCCAAAAGTTACTATTGCATAGTAATATAATAGAATGCTCATGCAAATTCATGATTAGAATCTCTACTTAAATGGCAGATTGATAATAGTAAATAGATCCATGAAGACATCTATTTTAAAAAACTTTTGTATGCTCTATTTATTCCTTGTTTCAAATTATCAAAGAGCTCACCAAAGTCTTCATTATTTAGTATTTCAAGCATGATTAATAGTTCCTACCTGAAAAATGAGTCAAAATTTTTCTTGAGATTATTTAAAAATTTTATCTATTCATTTATTTTGTCAGGCATTTTGTGAGCCTAATGGCCAGGTAGAAGTTGAACCAAATGATTATCCACTTGAATATGAGGTATAGGATCCTTTTTGACCATAAATTTCATCAATAGTTCATATAAATGCTCACCAAATGATACTAAGCACTAAACTTGAATATTTAGTTTTTTGTTTAAGAGCCAATCCTAAAATAAATGCCTACCATATATAACAAACTCTCTCTGACGATCACTTGTACCGAATTTCACACCAACAAAAATGGAAAACTTATTGGAGAAAGTAGAAGAGGC